AGAAAATACAGTATACCCGTATATGTATGACCACCAAAACGCCCTATCTTGTCACCCGACAAGCTAACAGTTCCTTGAGGGTGCCTTAGGCATAAGCCAATCACAGTTACCTGTAAGGGTGATATCATAGGCATAACTGGGCTGATTGGCTGGAGACTGGGGCTTCGTACCCAGTGGCAAGTGCGCTTGATTTTCTAATACAGAGTCTGTGCTTGGAAGTGTTGAAGTGTAGACTTGTGTGGGGCGGCAGATTCAACATGGCGGGATATATACTGTATAAGTGAGTGCACTATAGGTCTTAGCCTTTTCACGAAATGTACAGTATTGTGAGTCATGTGACCCCAATTAACTATCTTGGAGAATAGGCTATTGTTTTGAAAGTGTAATTGTCCACTCTGAATAATGTCATTAATAAATGAAGAACTGTTAAGAATAGTTCTCAATTCCCCTTCCCTGTATATGGAGTGGAGTTTTCCTCATAAGGGTCTTTGTTGTGTACAATGATACAGTGAGCCCATGAGTAACAACATAACTATCACAAATTTCCCCGAGTATATATGTTAGTGCACGATATACTTACTCCTACCATTGTTCCCTCCTCCCTCCTTCTCCCCTTGCTGTTTGACCACAAATCGGCCTTTTTCACTCGTCCTCCCCTCTTCCCTCGCTCCTCCTTCCTTACCTTCTCTCTCTCTCACTAGTATAAAGAACAAAGAAAGATTAAGTTTAAGAAATGAGAATTAGAGAATGAAGAAAGAGTAAAAGTAAGTAAATAAATAGAAATAAGAAATAAAATAAAGGAAATAATACACATTTATTACATAGATGATGGTGTCCCTCAAAATTTTTAGCGACAAATTTGTACCTGTATATATGTAATGTTACACAAATCAATCTGTACATTTTACTGCCATTCTTGTGTCCTACGGTGAAACTGGCTGATTTCCAGTCCGAGGTACTTATTCTTGATCCAGAGATTTCCTAAATAGAACTCTTAGAGGAGTGCAAATCTCATTTGCTACTTCCACTTGGTCTGTGCTTCATCCATTCCAGGAGCTTTGAATTCTTTCATGCTTGCTATTTTCTCATTGATGACATCATCTGTAATCTATGTCTCTTAATTCATTTTGCATTCCTGAGGTGTACATTCTCTTAGGTACAGTAAAATCCCCATTAGGCAGAACAGTTGATGCAGAGTGTTTCTGGGTTTGAGAGTTTTCTAGTTATTGAGACGAATTCTCTTATCCCTGAATTTTTTTTACATTTACGTAATACTTTCGGGTGAATGTTTCGACGTCTAAACTATGCATCTGGCACGAAACACTGTTGCTACGGAGGCTTAGCTTCAGTTGGACAAACACATAGCTGTACTGTATTTATTTATGAGTATGCAAACATTACTGTACACGTAGAGTGTATTGTTTAATAAATAAATGTGCTGCTGTATACACTCTACTGTACTCACCAGCAGATGCTGTCATCTTGAGCTTGTGATGCAAACCAAATGGTATACACTTTCCATTCTACCATGTACAGTACTGTACATTACATATGGTTTTTTCACACTTACTGAATGTACAGTATACAGGTACTCCTTGACTTACGACCTACTCGACTTATGACCACCCGTACATACAACCGCCTTAGTCTTACCCAAAAAATTTCAAATTATGTATTTTTCGAGTCCCAACGTCTGTGTACTGACAAAAAAACTTTTTGTTATTCCCTTGAAAATGGCTGGCAAGCTTAAAAGTGAGAGTTTTGTGGTGCTGAGAAGAAAAAGAGACACCCATATTAGATTTTCTATGTATTATTTTCGCATTTTCGACTTAAAACCAATTCGACTTACAACCTGGATTTGGGTCCCTAACCCCTTTGTAATTTGGGGACTGCCTTATGTAGCTGCAGGGGCAGATCCAAGGGGGGTCCTGGTGGTCCGGACCCCTCTTTTCATCATAAAATTCCAATACTTCTTCTTTAATGCAGTATTGTACTCAGAAATTTTTGTATAGTAAAAAGTAATCACTATTGAACTCAGAATATCTCATAATGCCAAGTGAACATGGCTTCAAAATGGCCTTAAAATGCCCATGATATTGGTAAGATTTAAAAAAAAATTCTGTTTGTTTACAGCTCCCCCCCTACCCCCAGCTATGTGGACTCGCAATGCTTGCCATGTTCCCCCACCCACAATTTCTTGACCTCCCCCACCCCTTCTTTTGATATTCCTGGATCCGCCCCTGAACTGAAATCACTTTTTACATCCTGACACTGCTTTAACAGTATTCATGGCTGATTGTACATTACTGCACAACACAGATTGAATGCAAAAACAACGGTGAGCGAGTGCACAATGGCAGCAGACGATGAACTAAGAGTGTTATGCTACTAGAGTTTGAGGAGACAGGCTGTAAGATACATCAGCCAATCATAGGCATCCCATACAGTCACATGACAGTAGTAGCCAGTCATAACACACAAGCACTCTGAGCCTACTCACCCACACACTCAGCACTTGTAGGTGCATGATGCAATCACTCGGAAATTCATTCGCATGCCTGGAATGGAGAGATTTTTCTCAGAATGCTAAAATTTTATTTTCCAGATACCGGTAATTGAAAGTACCGGGGATCGAAGATTCCAGCTTTTTGGGATATTACTTGTACTGTACTGGCATGATATCCATCATTTTGTTTGAATACCTCATCATCATAATCAATGTTTTATAGCCACACCTGCATGATTAGCCACAATTACCTGATGGCAACCCCCAAGCTGCACTATCTCTTTCAGTCACTGTTAGCCAGCTTTTAACTCTAATATAATTTCTTGCAACATCTCCCCATGTCATACTTAGCCTCCCCCTGGCCCTCCTCCCCTCCGTATTCAGACTCATGCACTTCTTGATCCAGTTGGTTTCCTCCATTCTCTCCACTTGCCCAAACCACCTCATCCTACTTCTCTGGAAAATTTCACCAATACTGTACTGTCAGTACCCAGCTTCCCTCTTAACAGGGCCTCACCTCCAACTCACCATTCTCATTTCAGCTCGCTCAAGACTGCTTATGTCAACCTTTTTGGTGGCCATTGTTTCACTGCCATAGTACATCACACTTCTCATGCCAGCCACATATAATTTTCCTTTCATGGAGGGAAAGTCCTCTTGCCATCAATAAAGGCAGGAAAATCCCTAAATTTCCTCCATCCACTTCTGACTCTTGTAACTGAGTAGGTTTCATTACCCCCACTGGCACTGATCATGTTGAACACTGATGCAAAGTACAGTAATTATTTTTGGCATTTGATGTCTATTTATCATCATCTTGAGCCACATTATTTTTGTCCTTTAGAGAGCCAACAGTGTCTTTGGTTTAAAGTTTCCTTCTGGTATAGGCAATAGGCATGAAAAGACTTGGGATCTTTCTTGATACATTAAGTCATTTAGCTAATCTAATGTCTTGATTGGCCACATTTAGGATAGTGCTGTTCTGTTTTGACTATCCTCTTGGACTGATTATGAAGAATTATTTAGAAAGAAAAGAAATTACTTCAAATCCAAATGGCAGGCAGTATGCCTTAGCATGGCTGATGCTGATTGTGTAGACAGTTAAAATATCACCTCCCACCCCCTAGAGAGCAGCTGTTGCACCAGGTCTCTCTCTTTTAGGGAATTAAGATGGGGAGGAAATTTTTTAAGTATGTTAAGAGATTAATGAGTCAGCCCTACCTTATATCTGTGGTGTTATTTAAGTCCCCCCAGTAGCTTCTCTTGTGAGGGTTCCCTTTTATTAAAATGTAAAAAAAAAATTTATTTAGCAGAATTTGTTTCACTAATAATGCCTTTATATTTACACACTATATTATTTTGATGTACAGGTAAACCTCTATTTGCAATGGAGCTAGGTTCCTGAAAACCCAATTGCAGGTCCAAATATCCTAAATCAGATTCATTATAACATGGGGCTCAATGGGGTAGGTTCCTGGCCAGTCAGGCACCCATATGTATAAAAAAAAAAATCCTAGAATACTACTTGCACTAAAACACAATTAAACAACACACCACATTATTAAGAAAAAATCTAGTCGACATCACATGTCCCTCTTCAAGGCTAAGGGTACACTTAAGGTGGGGTGGAGACATCAACCTGAGTCCCACACAGACTATGAGGAGTCTGAAGAGTGGGGACTGGAGGTGTAGCCTTCGTCCTGGCCTAAAAGATGGTGAGCAAAAAGTTTGCCAAACATTTTGAAAGTTACACTATTCACTTCACAGTCACAAAAACATGATAATAGGGATGGGGACTAAATTCTTTAATGACAAAAATATATAAATTGTGATGGAGGTGTGGTAGAGGATTAGTGGGTGTCATGTTACTGACCTCACATGATGCAGTGTCAAGTATACAAAATCTTCTCTCATTTACAGTGGAGGTGGGATGGAGGGATTTGTGGTCTCATATTACTGACCTTTTGATGCAATGTCTGGTCACTCATAGTCGGGGTGGAGGATCAGAGCGAAAGCACTTCACAGTCACTAAAATGGGGAAAGCACTTCACAGTCATAGCAAAAGATCATCACAGTCACTAAAACAGAGTACAATGTGAACTTCAGTGATGTCCTCTCACTGTAAGGTGAAAAAACAACACTGATGGTGACTGACAAACATTGAGCTCCATTTCTTACATACTTGTAACCAAGAAGAAACAATGCCTGGACTGTAGTTTACCAGATGGCCACGAGGCAGCATTCAGGTAGATGGCACTTCAACTGACAAATGAAGTGAGTGATGCATTTCATATGGCAAGTTGGGGGTATGATGAATATTGTTAATGTGAGTTTGTTCACATCACAAATAGGGATTGGTTTTAATATAGCAGCATTGTTAATGTGAATTATAATAGATTGGGATATCATAAATAGAGGTTTACCTGTACAGTATACTGTAGTATATTTAAAATAAATTATATGTTGTTGTTTCATAATGATTTTTGCCCCACAGTCTTATGGTGATGGAGCAAAAGACAAGCTCTCTCATAATACTAAGACTATGCAGATACAACTTGTAGAAATCAGTGACACAGGGGTTGAGCTAGTCCCTGTTGAAGATCTGGATCCTGAGAGTGAAGTAATCATATATGTTCCTCGTTTGAATGATGAGGGAAAAGCAGCACAAAAGCAAAGTAAGTACGTGGTAGTGATTAAGAATTCACCATAAACTGATCATGGAATATTGCTACTAATTGAATAATTTGGATGTATTTAATGCAGCAGGTGAAGGATGGAGTTATTTTCTTGTGTAAATGGAGGAAGGAGAAGGATTAAGTTGATAATGGAAAAGACAGTAGGTGAGTAGAAGTCCAGACTGGCTGTGAATATTGGAATAATACTGCTTTGAGTGTTAACCGTATTATCTTTGCTGTAATGTTTCTGAAGGTTACCCTATTATCAGTGACAACCTAGAGTCTTACCAGATCTTCACCCTTTTATTCTCCCCATTATAATAATTTTTTTTTTTTATGAGATTAGCCCACCAGGGCACAGGTCAATGACCCATATCAGGCGTGATTTATAAATACACTTACTTGTATCATTTCAGACCATGATGAAATAATTACTACAGACACTCCCTAGGTTACAGGCAGGTTCCGTTCCTGGAGGGTATCCGTAAACCAGAAGTGACCTTTCCATAGGTAGTCATAGAACACACAGAGTTTTCTTTTGGGGGTGAGAGGGGGTGGGGGGGGATTAGCACACTCGGGCACAGGTCATCGACCCACAACGGGGCCTGGCGGGGGGGGGGGGGGGATTGGCCCCCCCGGGCACAGGTCAACAACGACCCACAACGGGGCATGAGGGGCAAAAAAAAACTTTTTTTTGTTCAGTCCAGACTGCGAAGCCTAGCTTATACCTAGGTATGTTAATGCCTAGCAGTATAATGTGCCAGGCCAACATACAGGTAATTAAAACATCTAATTATTTCTTAATTCGTAATATTAGGAGGACATGTCGCTACCTGGCATTTACCGTATATACTCGTCTATAACCCCCCTTCGTATATAAGTGAAGCCCGATAACACTTTAATTGTAATATTAGAGGACATGTCGCTACCTGGCATTTAATTGCAATTCTCAAACCCCTCCATCACACCTATTGCTACCGTTATCTTGCTCGTGAATCAGTTGTAACACATAAGGAAAGCCCTCTAATTTGTGTTGTAATAGCTGAAATAGTAAGTGCCACGAGGATTTTATATACGATATTTATACATCTTAGCATGGTGAGAAAATCGAAGGACTTTTATTTGTTTATGTCTCAGATATTGTTTGTGATACTTCCTATACCGTCTGGTCAGCATGGCGACCACCACATCTTCTATTATGAACACAGTAGATCGTTAGTGAGTAATATCCTCTGCTTTCAAGTCACTTTTTGAATGACGTTTTTCTATATATATATATATATATATATATATATATATATATATATATATATATATATATATATATATATATATATACACACACACACAATAAAATACATATATACAGTGGTCCTCGGTTAATCTAACTCAACTGCCCAGGTTTTTCGTTAACCTAAAGCCTCAACCTAAACCATACTAATGGGTTTTGGGCATTGGTTCCAGCTCACTGAAAATTGCCTAAATTCAACAAAAATGGTAGAAGTCACACTTGGTATGTAGAAGGCTCCTGGATGATGATGATGATGATGGGAATTAGAATGGTGGAGGAGAAGGGGAAGAGAAGGCATTGTGGGAAGAGGTCACCTCATGGCAATCCATTTCACCCATAAAAATTTTAGTTCTCTTGGTATTTCAAGATTATTATTTTCTTTTAAATAACACTGCACTGCATTATATATTGTCAAATTATAAAATATATTTCAAAATGACCAATAATTTGCTGGAAACACAGAAAAAGCGTTTAGTTGAAGAGAGTCTGCAAAGTTGTTACTCTCCAGTGAAACAGAGAGAGACTAACGCCTGTTTGCTGTGTTAAGAGGCTGGATGCCTGCGAAAACTAGTCACTTTTACCTCAATTATGTTCAATAATTGTTAAAATGACTATAAAATTGAATATTAAACTTTTAAAAATTATTGAATAGTATAAACTTTGATATTTACTAAAATAGTAAGGATTCTAAGCCTCAGAACCGATTAATGTATTAGCGGACTGATACTAAAGCTGGTTGCCCGCCAGTGCGCTTAAAACATGTTGAGGTCGGTGCAGAAGAAATTAACCGAATTTTGTTCCTTAACCTAATTGAAGATCCTTATGGAAGGCAGTTCATTAACCGAAATTTCGTTAACCGAGGCGTTCATTAACCGAGGGATCACTGTAGCAAAGCACAAAGCAGGGATAGGAAACAATTTGTAGTTTTCTCATTTATTTAGTCTAGAAATCACCTGAGAAGGAAAAGGCCGACCCAGATCAGACATAACTAGTTATTTAATATTATTACGTTATACTTACAAAACAAGCGCCAACTGTTGTCATATTCACATATTTGTAAAATACAGTCGTAGGAATTAAAACAAATACAAACCCAACCACCAGCATAACACAGGAGGGCTGTTGTCGACTCACCCAGGGTGAATGTCTGTAGAGCAAAGGAATTAGCTCTGATTTGGCCACAGACTACCTCCACGAGATCATCACATTCTTCATATAACATTTATTATGCTCAATCTTCAAAACACACTCTAACAGAGCAAGAAATGCGGGACACACCTGTTACTGGGCCCATCCGACGCGTTCTTGGATGCAAACAACGCCGCATTGCGTCTCCCCTCGCTGATGCATATTCGTTCTAGCGCGGATTCACAATATCTTTACTGCTTTTTTCTCAGCTCACAAAAAAAAACATATCCATACCAATAATATTCTAAATCACCAATAGTTGTCTCCTGAGTTCTCACCAATATCTGCCCCCCACTTTAATCTTTATCATGTCTCATGATACTGGGTACAGTATATAAGAAAATAAATGACCTAACATTCTGAGGCATTGAGCAGTTGTAGGAAACTCATAAATTGTACTGCCAGATAGAACTAACAATATAAAACTTAAATCTATAGCATCAAAATACTTTGGATTGTCGACTGAGGTAACTTAAACATATTTGAGTGTTTTCCCCGCAGAAGCTTCTTTCTTTTACGGACTGCAAGTCCCCCTGAGACTCTTCCTCACAGCTGCTACTACTACTATCTGTTACGGGGTCCAGGTCCTCATTAGAACCTTGTGTGTCTACTCCTGCCTCAGAGCTTTTCACCACTGTCAGGACGTGGGTCCCCCACCGGCAACCCGCATCGTCCCTTATCATCGCCATCATAGTGTTCCATCTGAGCCATCAGCTACCTTGGGGTATACCTTGAGGCCCCACTCTTCCTCAGAAACAACCTATACACACTTCCCTCCTCATTCAAATATGGGATAACACTTATCATCTCATACCAGTTGTCTCGATTTATTCCTTCCTTCCATGAAGGTTTCGCACTGTCATTAAATGGACCAACATCCAATGCTTTTCCTCGCTTTCTTATCATACATAAGCTCACAACTGACACTTATCAAATTACTGCTTGCAACTCTCCAGGCATTTTCACTACTTTCTGTAGTAGGCCACCCAATCATCGCACGAGTCCTCTGCCTGAAGTTGATAAATATATTCATCCGAAGCTTGGGATCAGTCCCGAAGATCAAAGTGTGAGGAGAAACCCAGTGGCTGAGTTAGGAGTCTTATTAGAAGCAGCACCATTCCTGGATGCTTGCCCAATATTTTTTGATTGACCAACGTTCGCAACAATTGGTGCATTGTGCAGAAACCTCTGCAACCGTCCGTTTCAGCTGGATAGTATGGAGAAGTCCCAGATTTTTTACCCTAGGTCAGGCAGGCCTTTCAGTAATGTAACTGAATGGGCTCCCGATCAGCAATTTTCTAGAACATCATATTTGGTAAATATCTCATCAACCAGGATCTTTTGCTACAGTCGCTGTCTTCGATCCCTGTGGCGAATGCCCAGGCATAGCTTAGAGAACACATCTGTCACCACCAGCACATTTTCTGCCGTCACTCAAGTTCTAGCATCTGTAAAATCCACTGCCACACAAGTGTCAAAGGGTCTACTGGCTGTCAGCGCTTCATTTTCATGCGTACCTCTGGGACAACTGCTTGCTACAATGCACCGGTGGCAGTCCCTACAGTATTCAAAGATATCCTGATCCACTTCTAGTGACTTCAATCTAGTGGTGATGTTCATGCCCTGATAGACTACGTCATCATGCAAAAGTCTCATTATCTCTTCAGTTGTAGAGGGCAAAACTAGTTGTTTTAGCTCCTTCTGGCTGGCTTTCCATTTCCTAAAAACAATATGCTACAAATGATAATCTTCTCTGTTTCATAGGCTGTTAAAATCCTGGCCCTTTCTAGCTGCTGTAATTCACTTTCTCTCCTAGCTGCCTTTCTAGGCCCTTTTTCGGCACGATGAAATGTTACTGTCCTCTCCTGCAATTGCTCCAAACCTTCCTGAGATATGCTGGGAAGCCACACATCCTGTCCAGTCAAATGAGGGCTCTGCTCCTTCCTCAGCTGGGCATGGGGTCTCATATCCTCACCACTAAGGAACTCTCCTCCCTCGAAAGCATCTATGGCCATAGCTTCAACCCTCGGAGGAGTCATCTGCCCTCAGGTTCTGGGTCGCGGTTTTTCTACAATCCATTGTATTCCCATTGGCTTTCTGCCCGATATTCAGATGATAATCAAACCGGGCTAAATCAGCCAATCCATCTCTGTTTACTGTCTCCAAGCTTGGCTCTGTCCAAGTAAGTCAAAGGATTGTTGTCACTATTAGACAGTAAACTTGCTGCCTGCCAGATACTTTGAATTTCCGTGATGGCCCACTTCAAAGCTAGCAGCTCTAACTCTCATGCTACAATGTAATTCTTCATATTTCTCTCCGACCTTCTGCTCCCCTACCGGCATAGGGCAATAGGGTGTTTTCTGCCCTCACACTCTCAGACAAGACAGCTCCTAGCCCCTGAAAACTGTGGAATTGACTTAGGAAAATGGCTTGATAAAATAGTACAAATCAAAATGGGTGCCCTGACTAACTGCCCTTTAGTTGGTTGAATGCATCGCCATGCACCTGGGCCTCACTTGGCAGATGGACTGGATTTTGGGGCGGCAGCAACAGCTAGGTGTTAATGGGGTAGCTAATTTTGAAAATCCAGGCACAAAAACAGTCGGTAAAAAGAGGCATATCCAAGGAAGGAACGTAACTCCCTAATGGTAGGAACTGCCACTGCTTAACAGCCTCTGGATCTTACTTCCCTCAACAATAACATATTCAAAGATAGAAAACTCCTCTAAAACACGTACTGAGATGGCTCCATTCAGTTATATCCCTTTAGCCCAGAGAGCACCATTTCCAGCCATTCTATGTGCCATCAAGTGTTCTATAATATCCGAAATCATCCAGGCACAATCAACAGGTTGAAAATATCTCACTGCCAAAAAATCTCCAAGACTCCTTAACATTTCGGAGCATTACATAATCCCATTGGCATCGTTTATCTCAAACACCCTAATTTTGTACAGAAGCAGTCTTTTTACCCGTCATATCATCTCATCTGAGAACATCCTGAGCTAGATCGAATGTTGAAAACCACTTTGCTCCTACCAAAGCATCAAGACTCATCAATTCTTGGGAGGAAAAAGCATCCTTACGAGTGTCTTGTTCAGCTTCCATAGTCGACAAAAACAAACGCAGTGACATATCTCCTTCTTCACTGAAATAAATCGGGCTCGCATAAGGACAAGCGTTTTTCATGAACCCCCTGCCCAAACAGCTGGCTTGATATGGTCCCTAACCATTTGGATTTGAGGGGGAAATCCATCTGAAAGGCTGCCTAATCGGGAGTCTCATCTAACAGAGGGATGGTATAACTGATTAAATCCAAAGTGCATCCTAACTTCCTTGCTGTCCAGAAACATACATCGGGCAACACACCCAAAGTCTCCCTTGTGTGCTACTGCATTTGTTTTAGGTCAATCTTCAGCCCTAATTGCCTTAGATCTCAGTGCACTGCCATCAGCTGGACATCCTGTCCCATTCAACACTGTTTGAGCCTCAACTTCTGCTGCTTTTGTTGAGTACACAGATCCCATGAACAGCCACCCAAACACACTTTCGCTTACAGAACATGCAGAATTACCCACACCACAGTGGCAACCCCATCAAAACCAACGGTATATGAAGGATAAGAAGGAGAATACACCCTACCCCGCCTGCATTGCCTCAATCAAGACTTCAAGGACATCTCCACAAGCCTGGATGTAACACCACCACTCAAGCCAGTTTGCTAGATCCAACAACATAGTAGGCAAACCCCATCGTGGTCTTCCTGCCATCACGGATGCTCAAATCTCTTGAAGCACTTTAAAAAAAATCTGCTTCCCCTTTATAATACTACAGCCAACATATTAGACCAAAATCAGAATCTCTCTACATTGTCGAAGCAATCATCCCATCAAACCGACTGACCAGAGAGCCCTCTGCTCCCCCTCACTAGAACCCGACCTGCTCTATTTTATATTCAACAATCAACATCCATCAACAGCCCAGGTATGGCATTGACCCACCCATTAGCTTTCAACACAAGACCCACTGAAATGTATCCAACCCCCTAGATTCAAAATATTCACGATAAACCGTCCTTGAGACAAGAGACACCTCACTACCAGAATCCAGAAGAGATGCAACCAAGACTACTCCATCTAACTGCAGACAGGCTTTTCCACCAGCCTGTCCACGCCACTTCTCTGTGTGACCAGCCCAATTTGTTCCCACCCCTACTGGTGGGCTCCCCAAAGAAAGGGCTTCCATTCCTATTCAGCAACCGACACTCCCGTGGTCTTGACTCCATTTCTGGTTAGCTGAGAGGCCCACCTGGTGGACCTCCTCTCACTCGACCTTGGTCTCCAGCAACAGGTGGCCGCCCCAGCCCCCACTGTCCACATATTATAATCTCCTGAACAGAAGTGGCCTTCCCTTTAAAATGTTTAACTTCCGGTGACCCCTTAATCAATAGGCCTGTCTTCACCGCCTGAACATCTACTTGCACCAGCAAGCATCTTCTCCACCCACTCGTGAGGTACACTTCCATGGGAGTTTAATGTTTCTCTCACTCTTTAACCATGGGCGAAACATCTGTTTGCAGGTTGTAAACCACACCCCAGATGGGTTCTCTTTCTTAATTCGCCTGCTGCCTTTGACTCCTCTGCAGCTACCTGTACCACCTCATAAGACATTCCAGGCTGGCCACGCAAATACCAACGTGTCACTCTTGCATCCCTTTGATCCTTTAAGCCCTTAAGAAAACCCCTTCAAAGCATCCGACCCAACACTTGACATTCAGTGTTGAAGCATGTTTAACTATCTCCTCATGCAGCGTTCCCAAGAGCAGCGGAATAGGTCCACACATTTTCCAATACACCCTGAGTCCCCTGATGTTCCAAAGGAGTTCCCCCAGCGTCAGGTTTTCCATAAGTATCCTTAAAACTGCGAGAACCTTCACCATCACAACTGTCACCCAAGCCAGCTTTTCTACCCTTCGAGCAGGACCAGTGAGAAATTTAAGAATATAGCTGACTGACCCTTCATCTCTGTAGCCAAGCAACCTGTTACGCCATTCTCAGCCATCCACCACCTACATTAATTTGGTCTGAATTATCAGGAGTCCAAAAAGTTCTGAGCCATCTCATGGGCTACCACCTGAGGGAAAAAAATATCAACACTGTCCTTTTGTGCATAG